TTTGAATTATTCACAAATTTCATCTATTACTAACACATAAACAATGTCAAAGAAAGACAAGCCATTTTTCCTTTAATTGGATTAAAATTTTCATTATACATATATATATTTATTTCGATAAATTAATTTGAAACATACCGGTGACATCATCAATGGTAATCATTTTTTATAAGTTACATTTTTAAGCATTTATGCATAAATTTTTGCTGTTATATCCATAGATCAATTAAGATTATTAAAATCTTCTTTAATAATATCGATTGATATTGTTATTGATAATATTTGTAAAGTTAATGGTAGATATTTCGGTAATAATTGTTTATTTAATGTTTGTTGGTCAAGTGTTAACATCATTTCAATACGATCATAAACAATTAATTCAGGTAAACGTAATACAAATATATATATGGTAATGAAAGAAATTGTTCAATTAATAAAACTAATACAAGACCACTTTCATCTAAATGTATTCCTTCACCAACGAATAAATGACTTGTAACTGATGTACGATGTTATAAGACCAAATAAATTATGTACATATTTATATGTATCACTTTGTTCAAATAAAAATAAAAAGAACTAACAATTGATATTAAACGTTCAACATATAATTCATGACGACATATAAAATTACAATAAGATTGTAATATACCACTTTTTGATGTGTTATTAATATGATAGTGTTAATATTGATGACCACCATGCTTCTTAGGTATAATCAAGCATATCCAGAATATGTGTTCATTGTAATAATAATGATATATAAAATGATGATAATAATAATTTAAAATATTCACTTAAAAGAGTTAAATATGAAAATGTATCAAGAAGATGTACAGTTTCATCATGAATTCATAATTGACGAAAATCATTGGCCATTGTTCGAAATTGCTTAGCTAAAATCAAATTATAGATCTTATAAAAGCATAGGAATTTTAAAGTCGAATGTTTTTCGGCTAGGTCATTAGTAATTAATGAATTGCAGAAAAGTTTTATCTTCAAATTAATGGGTGATATATTACTATCATATAGACTATGATGAAAGCTTAAAGTCTTTTGACTTTGATAGTAATCATTTTTTATCTGTTCAGTTAGTTTCTTCTTTCTAAAATTTCAAACTGAAATTTTTAAATCAATCATTTAAGTTCTTGTTATAAAGATGACAACTTCAACTAAAAATGACGTTCCTATTGCTGGACTATCATATCCACGTCTATAAATGCACTATGATTTTGAGTCATTACCATTTTCCATAATATGCATAAATAAATAAAGATCATCGACTGCAAGAAAAACTAATGTCATATCGATTTGACCACGTAATTGTCGAGTAGTAGTTAAAATTCGAAGAAGAGCTCTAAAAACAAAAACGAGAGTAGTAGTTTTTAAATTATAAATAAAATCATTTCGAATAATTACGCACTAAAAGTTTCATCTCGTTGTCCATTATCCGATGATAAAGCATCATTCTATCGTGTTAATATAACATCGTCAATTAAATTTTGTATAAGACATCGAAGTATTATATTTATATTGATTAACGATCGATTTGTAGATTGACAATTGACATTCTAAAAAAAATTTTAAACTACAGGAAAATTTTATAAATAAAAACAACGAATATTTCTATTCACTAATGTTCAAAAAGCAACAACAAATGGATCAATTATTGGTCGTAATGCAACTGATGATACAACATGAAATAGTGGTAATTGTATGGAATAAGTATCCAAAAGCGATTGACCCTATTTGAAAAACAAATAACGTAAAATCGGAAATTATTAAAAAAGAAAAATAACCTTAGATGAACCAATAGTAACATGTGATTGTAAATGAACAATTACATCGAAAGTTTGCCGTGAAAGACATTTTCATTTATCGCCTTCATTTCGACCACTGGACATCGACAAGATGGTTATTTTCAGATCGTTGATTTATTAAAGTATTATCGAATTACGATGGCTTTGATGAAATTAATAGCATGGATAACTTTATCGACTGATCCATACAATTTTTTCTTTTCAGAAGCATAAATTTCAACAGGAAAGTAGTGCTGCTTATTACATAAATTTTCAGATCTCAAGTATCTATGATATTTGAGACCTTATAGAGGGACACCTTTTGTTCACTATCATTTAATAAAACTTTTTAGGAATTTTAATTTTTCGCATAGCGACTATTTCTTATATCGAAGAAGTTTAAGAAAGGTGTGAACAATCATCAGTCGTTGTGCTTCTAATTCTTTCTTATCTCTGCTAAGTCGAACAAGAAAAAAATCATATACAACTAATTAATTACGTTGACGGTGATGTGTTCGAATGAAAACGACGATAAAACAAATCGAGAAAATAGATTAAATGCAACAACTGATTCAAATCTTCACGGTGATTCGATAGAAGTGATCTGATCAACAATGATTTTTCTGTCTTTGAATTTCATCTCCATTAAAAGTTTTCTCTTTTAGAATTGTAACTAATGAAAATGATCCAATGCATTGGAAAGTTCGCTTAGAAAAGGATCTCCAAGGAAAAATAATGCTTCTCTATCGGAAAATATTTTCCGACCGATAATCAGATGCATGAACATGTCTTGCCTTGCGAATCTTCCCTTTTTCCGACAATCTTTGGTCTATGTTCGAAAAATTCAATGTTTCTATTCTTCGTCAGAAACAAATATTATCCGTTCGTTTTCAAGTTCGAAGATCTGTAATTCTAGTTGACAGATCTATTCTCTACGGAAGAGATTACAATAACATTACTGCTGGACGATAAGAACTGCTCAGTTTTCAATTATTTTTATTTTTTTTTCCAAAATGTGAGATACACAAAAAAAGACAAACAACGAAGAAAAAGAGAATGGCAAACAACAAAGACAAAGACAAAGAAAAAAACCACCGACAAAAAAAACATGTTCATTGAGCATGCAACATCGATGTCAACGTAGGAATGGTGGGAGACGATGGTGGAGCAGGAGCAGAATCAGATGTTAATATTTGAAAGGTGAGTAACGGTTCTAAGACCGGTAATTTTTCAGTTGACTCTTTTCTAGAGTCACTGTTCATCAATTGTTGGCCATTATTATATTGCCAGGAATTAACTAATTGACTGATTGGCACAAAACTACGCTTTTTTATACATTCTTCAACAAGTTCTTTTGGTAATGGCACTTGTGTGCCATCGGCAGACACGATCAAAAATAATATCGGAGGAGTTGGTGGTGGTTTACTTAAATGTAATTCACCATCTAATAATAAACGTTCAACTAGATCACCACCATCTACATTCCCATCGTGCGAATATGAACGAAAAAGTATTAATTTTGGTGTAGTCTTTTGAATAACATCGATGTTGTTGATGGACCGGGATAAATTAATTGCATGAGTAATTTCATGCGCCAGTACAATGGCGATAAACAAGATTCCAGTAGATTCGAAAATCACATCCGTGCTATCTAACAGGTGATACAAAAGTTTTGCATTTATTTTGTTTTTGATATAACTCTGCAACGCAATGTCGTAGAGGCTTGATTTTTTTTTTCGCTAAAAAGAGTAGTGTTTAGTGCAAAAATGTATGAAAGAGTTCGATTGGAAATGGTTTTTTGAAGGTCAAACAAGTCTTAGAATAAAAGACCCCGAAAAGCTTTTTCGCAACTTTTTTTGATTCAGAAAAAATTTTCTATAATTCGACAGGTTATCTTTTTATTTATCTAATCTAGATTTTATTATGTGAGGATCGAGCAGCATTGCTGTGAAAGAAAAAAGAAATTTTCTACATGTTTTATAAGGGTCGAAATGAACGCTTTTGTGCCATCGTGTAAGTTGCCGATGTTTCGTCACCTTCGGTACCAGTACAGAAAATAAACTATTTTTCAAGAGACGTTGCCAGAAGCTCTATTTTTTATATGAAAAAGAGAGCTTATTGAGTCCTTAACCAAACGATATTATTTGGAATGACACACGCAGTACTTTGTAAGATATGCAGAGAAAAATTTGATTTTTTTTCCTTTGAAAAGTCAGCTTCGATAAATTAACATTTTTTAAACAGATTGTCTTTTGTTCATTCTCGTGTAGGCTACATCAATTATTTTAATACTATATGAAAGGCTTCGTTTAAATGATCAACTGTATATGCATGATGCTCGAAATAGCCAAAAGTAAGTTACGAAAAAGATCAAACAAATATTTTTGGACTAAAAAAATATGATCAAAGTTGCGGAAGACTTTTTTGGGGTCTTTTATTTTATGACTTGTTCGACCTTCAAAAAACCATTTCCAATCGAACTCTTTCATACATTTTTGCACTAGACACTTTACTCTTTTTAACGAAAAAAAAATCAAGTCTCTACGACATTGCGTTGCAGAGTTATATCAAAAACAAAATTAATGCAAAACTTTTGCATCACCCGTTATAATAGAGAAAACAGAAATAAGTTATTCGATAGATAACAGACTATAAGTTTTTTTGTCGTTGTTCTATGAACAATCCCTTTAGAAAAAAAACAATGCAGTTCTTTTACCTTGCTTTTGTCGATTCACATCAAAAATTTGATGATTTAATAATATGGTTGGCGTGTTATTGATCAACTTTGCTGCTGCACAGTCTCGACTGAAGTCGAAAACTTTCTCTGCTAAACCACTAACACGAAATTGAGGATTAGATGGAGATTTCAACGACGTTGGATGTGGTATGCTGATCTCAAACGACGAGATCAGATTGGTTAATGTCGTGCAAGCATCTGTATTCTGGCGCTTGGTCGGTGGAGCACGTAGTAGTTCCAAACACATTGACGTAGTCATTGACGAGGTCAGTTGATCATAAACATCATTATAAATGTTAAACCACATATAGAGTATTTGTACGTGTTCACTACGAAGAATTTCGATCAGAAGACATCGAGCTCGATCGATCCAATTCAGCATTCGATTTCGATCATCGATCGAGAATAATGAATCAATATTTAAACGTCGAAAATGAAATGTAAATTGAGAAAATCCATCAGTTGACGACGAAGACATTCTGTGTTTATATTCACAGAGAAGTTGTTAATAAGCTGATTACAAATAGATAAGATAAAAAAAAGAATACAATCGTCTTCGTCTTATATTGAATGGAAGAAACAAAGGCATATCGGTTCAATTCGAGAAGGTATTAATAACCAATCAGATGAGTTGATCGGAAAAATGTCGCTATAGTCGAGAGAAGTAGATTAAGATAATCTGCCTATATTTTGGTTTGTTTGTTCGATCTATCA